GCTCTGTTTCACCAGACTATTTCATATAGTTCTCTTTACCTCTTTTTCAAACCAAAGCTCTGACATTCACGTCTAAAATTCTCTAGAATTCAAGGGTCTTGAATCTAGTATTTGGATCTAGTATTTGTGCTGGTTCCTATCCCATTATTCCATGTATGATGCACATATTTCTGTACTCTTTACATCTACTCCCCCATTTTCATAGTTCTCAAATTTCAGATGTTATCACTGCTTCTGAACACGTTCCTCTTCTCCTCATCTAATTAAAATAACTGGCTTCCATATTTATTTTTCTTTGCTATTCTTTCTTCACCATTCACACCACTTTCTACATAAGCTAAAAAGTAAGTTTTTATGTGTAATATTTGACCTGATCCTCATCTCTATTGAAATCAGTGGGCTTGCACAGGTTGGATGTGACAGCAGAATTTGACCCTTACTTTGTTAAACTCATCACGCTACTCTATTCAGTATTTAAAACTATTTCAAAGTCTAGTATTGAAATACACTTCACACTGAATGGGAATAAGACGGAGTTTTTAGTTCAGATGGTTCCTGTTTCAGATGTGCTGAGCTTATTCAGTAAAATGCAAGGGCATGTTTGGAAAAGTTTGGAATTTAGAGAGACATAAGATGGTAAGTTGCCCTAAGATTCTGCCAAAGAATCTAATACTCTTCTAAGTCACCCTAAACTCAGGTGCAAGGACCATGCATAAGGATGGAGATTAATTACGGGTGAATCATTCGCTTCAGCCAGGTTATACAGGAATTTCAGGCAGGCCCCTGACTAGAGAAAATTAAGAAGACCTGCAGTGGAACTCTGGGTAATCAAGCTCTGGGACAACTATAAAGCTGAAGCTCTAGGTAAACGTTAGCCAAAACCCAAGAAATAATAACTTTGGACCTTTCCTTTTTATTTTATACTTTTTTTAAAATTTCCTCTTCATGGATCATTGCCTTGTAGTGGTGGAGAAGTTTGCATGTTCCAATGACCCCAAGCACGATGTTGCCTGGAGTCATGTACTCCCTTAGGGTCACCCAAGGCAGAACCATCAAGAGTGAGGAGGATAACTGGAGAAACTGTTGTGTAATGTTACAACGGCTATGAAGGCAGATGAAGGCTGCCGCAGAGGATCTCCAGTTGTCATGGTATCCATGCCATTAGTTTCAAGCCTTCTATCTGTCATGGACAGTGCAGTGACTGTTGTGCACCAGTCTCCCCACTTTAAAAGAATCCCAGAAAGGTATCTTCCAGTTTTTGGGAAAATAACACCTGCACAAGTCAAAAGTCCAGTGCTAATTGGTGAGTAGCAACAGGAACAGGCCAATGAAATCTGGAATTCCTAGTCACAGACTGACACAGAGATGGTGGGTGTGTGATTAAGTCATCTTGCTTGAGGACTGAGGAAGGCCAAGCATCTCGGCAGCTGCACCCATGACTGAGAGCTGCACCCATGACTGAGCAGTCCTCTGCTGAAGAAGGATTGTTCAGTGAATAGCTGGGCTAACTAGCACTGCTCCATGGACAATGGCTCTCGGGAGTGGCCAATACACACCTGAGGAATGCGTCGGGAAGCCTACAGACCGGCCAATGCCTCATGGCTACTTTCATGTGAAACACAGATAGATCACTTGATCATGTGATCAGCTTCAGTCTGGGAGAGACCAGGAATATAAAAATCCCATGAGGCTGTCTCCATCTTGTCTTCAATCTTGCTACTGATTCCAGATGCGTCCTTGCTAGTGACAGAGAGCTGGGAAGGATTGTTGACCTATCCTAATACAGGATGTACACCAGAGACTTCTAAGCTACCAGTTTGTAACATCTCTGCTATGAGCCTGCATCAAGAACTTGGTGATTGGAGTACGTAATGTATTCTCCTTAACAATCTTACTCTCAACCTTTTCTTTCTTTTATTAATAAACCTTTAGATTTAAGATTCTAAAGGATTGGCCCAGCGTGCTCTTGTGGGTAAGATCTAAAGTGTAAATTTAGATCTGGGACTGGGACTGTGGCTGGTTCTTTAGGACCGGGAGGATCTGTTCGGAGTTGGTGAGAATGGGTTTTATAACCTCTCACCTGTGTGTAAGGTCTGAAGCTGTTTGTGGCACAGGGAGAGCTGGAGTGTCTGAGGGGTTTTGCTTGTGAGGCTTCCTACTGGCCAGATTGGCAGCTGAAGGGTTCTGTGTGACTGGTTTGTGGCCTATATAAGAAAGGTCTCCAGTCAAGGGCTGTAAGTAGCCCTGGTTTTGAGCAATTCATCTTGAGCTGACGCCCTCAGCAGTGCCGAGACCTTGTCCGGTCCGTCACCGAAGGATACAATAAAGCATGAGGACAATAGAAGTGTTATAAGGACTTGCTAAAGGATAACTTAAAGAAGTGCAACATTGACATTGACACTTGGGAGACATTCACCCTGGACCATTCAAAAAGGAGACAAGTCCTATGCAATGGCTCCCTGCATTTTGAATTGGCATGCTAACATGCTGAGGAGGAGAAGAGGCACAGGAGGAAGGGAAGACTGGCTTCTAGTCATGGTCAGCAGCCTTCTTCTGTACCTGGAAACATCTCTCCTCATTGTAATAGAAATGTTGTTCAGCCTTATTAGCCACCTTAGGGTCCACAATTCCCATGGAAGATGATCATACTTGGCAACGAGTGATCGCCATCATCATCATACGTTTTATTTGGAATAAAAGGGAACGCTGAACAGATTCCTTTTAAATAAGTACTCCTCATGTTTTTGTACATTATATGACACTCTTTTAATCCATTAATTTGTTGACAAACTCAATATTTATAGCAGTATTACTTTTATTTGGTAATACCGCATAATGGCAAAACACATTAACAAAAATTCCTATTCTAGATTTTTATCTCTGTTACATGAGTGTAAATAGGGGAAAACTCTATTATAGACTATCACGACAAGGAGTCCAGTGGCACCTTAAAGGCTAACAAATGTATTGGGGCATTAGCTTCATGAGCTACAACTCACTTCCTCATATGCTTGAAGTGAAAGAAAGGCAGGGATACAAAGATGGGAGTGCAACATCAGTGCTAATTAAATCAGGGCGGATGTGGCTCACCTCCAACAATGATGAGAAGCCTCTGAGAAAGTGAGTTGTATCTCATGAAAGCTGATGCCCTAATAAATGTGTTAATCTTCAAAGTGCCACTGGACTACTTGTTGTTTTTGCTGAAACAGACTAACATGGCTTCCTCTCTGAAACCTGTCATTATTGACATTGGAATTCCTTCGACTTTCTACTGTGTAGACAGCGCCAAAAGCCGAGTTAAGCAACTCCGACTTCAGCTGTGCAATTAACGTAGCTGAAGTTGCATATCCTCAGGCAGGGAAGAGGCAGGATGGGAGTTTCACGAAAAGAGTGATGTGGGCTCTGCAGTAGAGGAGAGGGTACAGCAGCCCCCGGCAAAATGAGAAGTGACACACATAGGCTGTGTCCAGACTCAGGGGTTTTTTCGAAAAAAGTAGCCTTTTTTCGAAAAAACCTCACCTGCGTCTAGACTGCCGCCGCGTTCTTTTGAAATTAAATCGAAAGAACGCGGCTTTTCTTTCGATGGCGGTAAACCTCAATTTACGAGGAAGAATGCCTTCTTTCGAAAGTTCCTCTTTCGAAAGAAGGCGTTCTTGAATGTAAATAGGGCTTCTTCGAAAGAGAGCATCCAGACTCACTGGATGCTTTCTTTCGAAAAAGCAAGCCGCTTTTTCGAAAGTTCAACGTGCAGTCTAGATGCTCTCTTTCGAAAGAGGCTCTTTCGAAAGAGGCTTGCAGACTAGACATAGCCATAGAAAGCTTGGGCATGTGCAAGGTGAGTCCTAATTGTACACAACATTGTCAGGGCCGTGCCCTCCCTCTGCTTCTTTATGTTACTTTTTCCAGCAGTTTAATTTGCCCCTAATAATGGATCACTTTGTGTTGGAATGGCATGATGCAGCAGAAAAATCAAGTGTGATGTATTTGACTTTATTCTTGGGAAGTTTACATGCCCAATTTAAATCTTGCAGCCCACAGAGAGGAAGGAGGGCCACTCATGTGGCCCACTCACTAGTCTTGGTTGCCCTTCACTGGTTTTCTGCAGGTTATGACCTTATTAATCAGTAGTATATTCTGCTTTTGCCAGAGTATATACCATGCCATTAGGGAATTTTCTCTGTCCACTTTTTCACTGTACATATTCTCAAATTTCTTGTGTTCTGTGGGGCAGTAGTATGCTGCTCTAGTTCTGCTGTGCCCATAACACATGTCTGAAGATCAATCTCATCCTAGCCTCTGCTCCAGCAGTTTTCATCTTGAGGCGGTACAGGCTGCGATAGTGGCACTTTCACTCACTGCTGAGTCTCAACATTCTTCTGTTGTCAGCCAACATTGGTGAAACCAAATGTTTCACCAAAATGTCTCACCTTCCTTTTGATAGAAGATAACTACTGCTATCCGTTCTTACCTCAATTCCACTTCCTCACCTCAACTCCACTGTAGCACTAAAAATCTTAGCCCTGCTGATGAACTGTGTGGACTGGATATGGTTTGCCATGACAGAATTTCAGAGATGAAGGGATGTTCAATTTGTTTTTAAAGTAATGTAGGAAATTACCTATAAATATTGATGGAAGAAAATTAAAGTGGCACAGGTAAGCACTGAAAAGTTAGGAAATGCCTTTTCTAAGGCAATCCCTGCCCTACAGAGGTTGTAGGCACTATCCCTGTGTTTGGTTCATAGGGCAATTCTTTGCATCCTTTCCCCTCTCCTATTTATGTACCGAAAGAGCAGTCATGCACAATCTGCTCTGTCCTATGTGAACCTTTTCATTCCTATTTGATGATTATGTGTTAACCTTGTCCCTCATGTAAGCACAGTAAGGGGAGTGTTTTAGCTGTATTCTCAGTGGGGTACTAAATCAGCAACAGTCATATATTTAACCAGTAAAGGGACACTTGTTTTTTTCATCCTTGGTTTACTTCTGCTCTTTGGACAGGTAAAACACAGGCCAAAGAAGGAAGAAAAGAAATGCCAACAAAGGAACAAGAAGCAGGATTCTTAGAAAGCAAGACAAAGGACACAGACAGGATGCCCAGGTACATATTTTAAACATTAATCATCCTTTCTGTGTATTCTCAGCCTAGAGCAAGGGCCTAGCAGTGGGAAATGACACTTCATAAGATATTATACTCCCTACATGAAACAGCCAGACTGAGATTTTCAAAGCTGCCAAGCCCTATTAAAATTAATGGCAGCTGGACGTTCATATCCCTAAGCAGCTTTGAGTCTGAGCTCCAATTTGCATCTGTGTAAGACCTCTGAGAAGAGCACTTCATGGCAGAGTGAAGCTTCCTAATAATTTCAGCTGAGCGCCACACTATACATTAGAGATATTGCTTGCCCCTCACTTCTTCCCTTATAAGTGACTTCCCACACTGAGCCATAAAAGGTGCTGGTAATGCCACTCAACTTGTACTTCTCACCTCTTCCAGCAGTCTTGCCACAGTGAAAGGAAGGACAGTATAGTCAATAATCTTCATCTATGCAGTATCTCTTGTTCTCCTGTAAGTGTCAAATGATTAGAGGATTGGGCCAAAAGAAATCAGATGAGGTTCAACAAGGACAAGTGTAGAGTCCTGCACTTGGGATGGAAGAATCCCAAGCATTGTTTCAGGCTGGGGACTGTAGCAGTTCTGCAGAAAAGGACCTGGGGATTACAGTGGATGAGAAACTGGATATGAGTCAACAGTGTGCCCATGTAGCCAAGAAGGCTAATGGCATATTAGGTTGCATTAGGAGGAGCATTGTCAGCAAATATAGAGAAATGATTTTCCCTTTTATTTGGCTCTGATGAGGCCACCTCTGGAGTATTGTGTCCAGTTCTGGGGACCCCCACTGTAGAAAGGATGTGGACGCATTGGAGAGGATACAGCGGAGGGCAAGCAAAATGATTAGGGGTCTGGAGCACATGACCTATGAGGAGAGACTGAGGGATTTGGGTTTGTTTAGTCTGCAGAAGAGAAGAGTGAGGGGGGATTTGATAGCAACCTTCAACTTCCTAAAAGGAGGATCCAAAGAGGCTGGAGAAAGGCTGTTCACAGTAGTGACGGATGGCAGAACAAGGAGCAATGGGCTCAAGTTACAGTGGGGGAAGTCTAGGTTGGATATTAGGAAAAACTATTTCACTAGGAGGGTGGTGAAGCACTGGAAAGGGTTACCTAGGGAGGTGGTGGAATCTCCATCCCTAGAGGTTTTTAAGTCCCTGTTTGACAAAGCCCTGGCTGGAATGATTTAGTTGGAGTTGGTCTTTCTTTGGGCTGCAGGTTGGACTCGATGACATCCTGAGGTCATATTCCTAGCCACCCCAAAGTCATGGCTGTGGAGTGGAAGTAGATGCCCCATGCCAGCAGAGAGAAGTGTACATTGTTTCTCTTCAGCACTATCTGAGTCCACCCACTAAGGCAGAATCACTCTGAAGTACTTCCGACATAGGCCAATGGTTTAAGTTCTGAGGACTCCGTGTTATTTTATCTTTTACTGTTATTTTTTATTGAACTGAGGTCCTACATCTTCTCTTCAGGCCAGATCATGGTCCCAGTGAAGAATTTTTCCCAGTTGACTTTGGGATTTGGCCATGAATTCTATGCTGTTTATCATGACTTCTAGCCTGGTCATTATGTCATTGAATTGGGCTTTACAACTCAAGCCTGTTTCATATGACAAGGAATTGCTAACAGTCTGTCAGCCATAAATTCAAAAGCTGATGAGAAACCAAAAGAAGAAATCTTAATAGAGAAATTCTCTTTAGTGCACTGTATATAAATTAACACAGAAAAGAAGGTAAATTCTATGAATAGGTAAATTCCCTGTCCAATGTTATTTGGAAGTGTAGTGCACACATACAGTATTTTAATTGGATATTTGCTTTACTTTTTAAAAAAATATGTTCAAAATCCTTATGGTTACACACATCTTATCCAGACTTTCATCCTTGGGAAATATAGAGTAACAAAAGGAAAAGGTTTATAAAATAGCTCATGAGTAAATGGAATTTAATGGGGTCAATTATGCCCACATGCTTGAATGCAACTTTCATTAATATTAATGGAAGTTAGACATGCGCATTGAAGGAATGTAGAATAAACTGCCATTTCATCCACAATATTATTTTTGCTAGCCTAGAAACATAGTGTGTAGGATAATTCTTTCAACGATACTGAAGAAAAAAAATGGAAGACAAAGCCCAGTATATACATTACTTAGTCTCCTCCTGTTAGACATGATATGTGCGATAAAATGAAAGAATTAAACATGCATCAAGCAGTGGTGAATTTTTAGTGTTTGTTATAATTTAGCTTTATATTACATGCATCTCTCTTGTATAAATAATTAATAGAATGGAAATGAATATGTAGTAGACTGGATTCTTCCCTCCAAGGGTTAAGCTACATTTCTGCAAATTGGTTTGTGCCCTATTTCTGTTCTTGTGTCTCTGTGCATCTAGACATTTTCTCGGCATCTATAACTCTTCTGAGATTTAGGGAGATCTTCAGAGATTTGCTAGTAATTGACCTATTTGGATTGCACATGACTGGCATCTGCTAAAAGATAATATAGTCCTGCATTTTGCTGTTAAGTGCCGGTCACGTTATTAGCTTGTGTCCAAACCAGAATAAAGACTCATGGGACATCATTTTCCCTTTGACAACTTCATTTTGTTCTTACCGTAATCTCCATTATAAATGAAGCACTTTGGTTGTAGCTTAAAGAGTCACGAAACCAAGAGCCTGTCAGCTGCATTTGTCCAATAATGAATCCATTGACTTATCTGTTCATTTTTTTAAGAGTTACTGTACACTGAAGATAAAGGATCAACATAACACTGAAGTCAGATGCTTTAACCTTCTGCCACTTCTTAAACCACGAAAAAGTCCCTGCTACCACTACTTTGACATTGGAATGCATATCAACATTTTTTTCAGAAATTAGGGTTATCAAATAAAGCAGGCCACATCTTATTGCTCCCTTAGGAAACAATAATAATGAATAAACTCATATCTGTCCCACTCCAAAGGAATTTGTCTGAACCATATTTATTCCACATTTCTTATATTGCAGAGACAAATCCTGGAGAAGCTCTGTTGTCTACAGACCTGCTTCTCTGACAACTTAAACTAGTTTTACGCTAGTTTAACAGCTGATTTCAACAGAGTTCTTCCTGATTCACCCAGAGATGTTAACTTAGAAATTGAACCTAGAAACAATGAACTAAAAAATAAACACACACAATCATTTTATACAGCAAAGGATAAAATACTGCTGATCTTTGCAAGTAGCAATGACAACACAGAGATGGTGCCTTGGAGCCTGCAATAATCTGAAGGTTAATTAACAGCATATAGCATAAATTTAGGATAAATCTCTAACGAACAATAAGCATTTTAGACAGTCCAACAAAATTTCACTCATGTGGCTCTTTGGGGTGCAACCCAGACTGGCAGGTTGTGTCACCACCTGTCCTGACACTTGACACCAGCAGGTCGATGCCTGTAACCTGCTTATGGCACAATGACCTCATACTGGCTTCCACCAGCCTGGATACTTTTTGCAGGGAGATACCAATTCCCACGCTCTCCTATGTTTTCCCTAAATGGTCATCCCAGTAGTGTCCACTCCGTCTGACTAAAACACTTTCAGAACCTGATTAAGTTTGCTGCTCCTTTAAAAAAGGGGTGGGGAACCTAAGGCTTGGAGCCGGATGCAACCCCCAGCTTACCTGGATCTGGCCCCCAAAGCACAGGAGTCCCCACCACCACATTGGAGAGCCCACGCTGGTGCTCCAGGTATCCCACCATCCCATTGGTGGGCTGGAGCACACAAAATCAGTATGGGCTACATTAAAGAGAGTTTGGCAGGGCTGGGGATTGGTTTTGCTTCTCACTTGTATGCGGCCCCCGACTGATTTTTCTGTGGCCCCTTACCCAAAAAAGGTTCCCCGCCCCTGCTTTCAAGGGACACAGCATGGACCCGTATTTAACTGAGGACTCAGACTTCTCTTCAATGTATAGCAATGAAATGGCTTGTAGATAGTACCCCTAAAAATAAGTTTATTAACAAAGAACGTAGGATTAAGTGAGTTCCTGTGAAAGTGAAAGAAATGAAAAGTTGTATACACCACACACTTCATGGTGATGAAATTTAACTGGAGCAAGGTACATTCTTGGTCTAAGCAGGTTTCTCACCTATATTCAGTTTCTAGGGACTTTCACCCTCGTCGGTTGAAAGATTCCATTTTTCTCCGTATATACAATCTCTGGCCTCTTGTCCAGGAATGGTGCCAGCACAGTTTTCGGCTCTTGCTCATATCTTCCATAGTAAAAATACTTTGTTTCGAGAGACATGATGGATTCTCTCTCCCCCCGCCCTCCACAGCCACCAGGAGCATTTGCATTTTCTCCCCACCCCCATCTGCCAGGGGTATTTTCTCTTTCCTAGCTCTCCCCGCAGGTCTTCGGCCATAAGCAGTGTTTTTCTCCCCCCAGTCATCCTCAGCCACCAGGGGCAGTATGACTTCCCCCATCCTCTTCCCCAGCTACAAGGGGCCTTTTTTAATCCCTCCCTCTGGAGCTGCAGACTAAGGCCATGAGGGGGGAAAGGGTATGGGGCAAAGGGGCAATTTACCTGGTGTGCTTGCAGGAAAGATGGCGAAGCCCCACTCTCAGATCACATCCTCCTGAATAGCAGGCTCTCCCTTTTCATGTTGTGGAAAACAGGGATTTGGGTTCTCCTGGCACAAACAAACACCGACCTTGCTTGAAGTTAGGAGAAGAGGAAGCTGCCTACCAAATGTGATGGCCCTAGCTCTTACTGTTTAGGAAGAGTACTTGAACAAACATATTTTCAGACAGACACACTCTAAAATATTTATTTATTCTCAACGTGAAGACGTATTGTGTGGAGTTAGGGTGCAGAAGCTATCTATTTATGATGTTCTCCTACAATAACTCTTTGGCTACGTCTACACTCACAGGTTCTTGTGCAGGAAATATGCAAATGAGGCTAAACATGGAATATCGCTGAGCCTCATTTGCATACC